CCTTGAAGCGGTTGCTTCAATGTTTAGGTAAATTGGGACTAGGAAGGGACGAAGAGATTCTAAATGAGAAAAGCCAGTTTAGAACATTCATAGCAAATCCGATTTCAAATATTCACAGTCTTACTAAGGTGGACCAATGAAAATTCATACCTTCTTAAGAAAACATGTTAGCCTTTGCATCCAGAGGGGTCAAGTTCAACATCGATAATGTCAAGGTATGGGAGGAGGGTTCACATTTTCTGAAGAAAAAGGAGTGCTGGCTTGCTGCTGATGTACAAGGTCCTGAACCCCATCTCTTGAAATAAATGAAGGCAATATCCGCGCATTCAATGGTTGAGGTTTCCGCTGTTGATCTACTTATTAATTATTATTCAGAGTGGACTTAAGGCTGTTGCACGTTGCAGAATTCATTAATAGTCTATCTAATGACGGGTATTTTAAGAGATGGAAGCGAGCAAATTACTTGGCACAAGTTGATCTAAGGAATATTTTTCGCTGTTGCAGCTTAAATACAAGTGGAACCAACTAGAGAGGAACATAAGGGAGTGTGACTTAGTAATGATGTTTTGACTTCTCCGGGTAAACCAAGTGGCCCTCAGTTTAGTACAGAGAGTGATACCAAGTAAAGATAGATTAATGAGACAGGTAGAACTGAGGACAAGAAAGGCTATCCTAGTGAGAGATATTCGAAAACTGTGTCTTCTTGAAGCTGTAGACTGTAGGTAGCTAATCGGATCCCTAGGCGTACTGGTAAGTCCTAGGGATCACGATATTGTTGGTATATTGAATGCTTGTCGTTGATTGTGATGCATGTACTTGGATTATTGTTACCTATTTATTTTTCTGTGAAAAGAACCAAGGTTATTTTGATCGGGAGTGTTACGGGAGAACTGAAGGCATTTGTCTGATTAAAATTTTTTTTGTTTATGAATAATTTTACTGTGTTTGCGGATGTATTTGTTTTACTTAACTTTTGAACTTGTTTGTTTAGATCATTAATTTCCGACATTTTGGTTTCTCTTTGTCATTCGTTTGATATTTAAGAGTTTTTGCTCCGGAAACCTACAAAATTGATGAAAGACATTTGGGTCGACTATTTGTAAGTCGCGAATACATTCTGGTGTCTAATTGGAATTCGGTACACTAGTTAATTTGGGTTCGTGAATTGCAAATAGGGAACGAGCGAAAACTGGGACGTGACAATATCCAATGGCGAAGCACTGAATTATAGTTTCGGGGTACAAAGCTCGATTGCATGTTTCACAGTTGGGTACCTGGCAGGTGCCGTGACAGCACTTGCGACAGTAATGCAATCTTCACCATCAGTACCAGCGCTACCAGCATTTTTATTCTTACAGGCCAAAGCAAATAGGCTCACAGCCTTCTGGAGTAGTAACGTCTTATTTTTACAGCAAATCATGCAAATCCAATGCGAGTTAGGTTTCGAGAATCTTTTGTATGCGGTAAGACTTAAACGGGTACACACCTTATTGAACGACTTTTAACACTCATTGAAGTGTATGCCTTCACCCACAGGGGAAAAACAGTTTGGTTGTCAACATTTATAAGTACAACTAACCGTCGTAATCAGATCAAGGTTTAAAAGCAATATGATCACAATAAGAACACAGGTGCCAGTCAATGAGAGAAAAGGTACAACAAGACAATATTTGCTAAACTTTCAAACCTCAACCGAAATACTTGAAGTTAAATTGGATCAAGAATGCTTTTGATGTAACAAATACATATAAACAAGGATAACAACAACAAGTACAAAGTCACTGCACATTTTTGAAACGCGTATTATAATCGCTGTAGGTTTGTTAGTTGTCCGTTAGGTTGCACGGATATTCAGTGTCCTCACATTTAAGAATTCTTTTGCTGCAGTAAATCACAAAATCATTGTATACATTAACTTAGATTTCTCAGTTTTTTAGTGTACACATTGGTTCGATTGTTGCTTCAAGTAGTTAAAATGATTGTGCTAAGGAATAGAAGAAGCTTCCGATTAATGGTCTTTCGTGTTTAGTAGCAGTGGATCAACAATACCTCAAGACAGGAACGATAAATAGGGAAAGGAAATTGTTAAACCATAGTAAAATATTATCTTACTTTCTAAAGAACATTTCAATTTTCCTTATAAGGTACTCCTGGAGGGTCGCTTGGATTAGCACAACTGGCAGTGAATTTCAGCAGTTGACAACTATAAAGAAGTAGAAGTTGGGTCTACAGTCCGTTCGGCTGTGTCCTGTCTCTGATATCTGGGTGTTACCCCTTAGGTTATGTTGGAGCTAAACTTGAATAGGTGTTAAAGGGGATGATGAGAAGTGTTTATGATGCTGTAGGTTGAAGGTACCACAGGTATTTGGAGTTTGACAACGCTTTAACCAGTAACACCTATTATGTAGCGTATCCACCAAGTGAAATCAAAAGACAGAAGAGAGTAGGTTCGAAGATACATTTGATAGACTATCAATTTATCGTGGGTCAACTGATTTATTCTGGCTAGCGGTTGCAGGTTATGTTTAGCACAGCGTTCCCACTCGTGATTTGGTGCGTATGCATGACCGAGCACCTTCAGCTAGGTGAGTCCGTTAGAACTGATGTGGCCCGCATTGAACGGCGGAGACTTACAGAGCTATTTGTTTTGGGGATTTATTTACCGACACAAGATCATTATATGGTCACCTCTGTACTGTAATGTGCAAATGTTCAGTGGTTAGGGGCGCTCTCCATAAGACTTGAAATTGGGTCTTTGAATTGATATTGTGGCAGAATACGTTCCCGAGTATCTTTATCATTTTGTATTGAGGGAGGGAATACTATGTTTCCGTACTGCAAATGGAGACGAATAAAAATGTCGAACTAGTCAAAAATGCACTTCGGCGTTACCGGTGCAAATTTTGTTCGGAAGGCATTCTTGTCGCAGTTAGCGAAAACTGTTAAGCAATATTTAACTACGAAATGGTTTAGTTATCATGCTCAATATAGTGAGTCTGTTTAATGTTCAAGTATACTTGAACATTACAAGTTGATTACGAGCTTATGGAGAACTGTCATCCCAAGCTGCCAACTTTGGGGAAAATTTGATCCATCTTGGGGGATGCCGCTATAGTAAATTTTGAGGAAATGAGATGAAAACCCCAAACATTGGGGAAGGCTATTTCTCCAAAGTTGGCAGCTTGGACTGTGTTCATTACTTCTCAGTCCTATCGCCCACTTATTGCCCCATTCCTGTACTTGGTATAAGAGATTCACAACTTTTTGTACACACACAAAGGAGGATCGGGACAACATTGTGGACTTCAAGTTGCGAGCGTGAGTACGCTTCAAGCAGTGTCAGGAACAATCCTGTGATGTTTGCGTCAAGTTTTTCTTGTATTAAGAGGAGAGATGAGTTTGTCTTGGCTTCTTCCTCAATATAGTTTGAGCTGGGGTCTAAGCTCTGCATGGTTACTAGCCCGAGATCATGCTATAAGAATATAATCTGGAGTGGATTTCGATGGAGAGTGTAAGCGTTTTTTGTCAAATGAAGCAGGATGTTCATGACATGACATTTCGAAAGGTTACGTTTTAACCCATAGTCTACCACCCATCTCTCCATTGCTATAAAGTCCTTTTGAAGCTCAGACGAATCGTTTTCGCCACATATGGACCTCCGAATCTTTCCATCCCCCGAAAAGATCAGTGCCGCTGAGCTAAATTTACAAGCACGTCATTAGCAAAGATCAGGAACAGAAGTGGACCTACGATTGTTTGCTGTGAAACTACATATTTTGAGACCCTCCAACTCGCGTATATCCTATTTCCCTTATTACGAAACATCCTGTTCTCTAGGTAGTTTCGGAGGTTGTCACTCGGGACAGGCCTTTTCTGAACCCGTGTTAGGCTTCACAATCCTGTATGTGTACATATTCCCTGATTTCGGGGCTTTTCCCCAATAACGAATCAGTCGAAACATTTGAGGTCAGCTTGTAATTTGGCTCCTAACTTGGCCTCAAAGCATCTATTTAATCGTACTTTGGCGTTGCATTATTTCTCGATGCCATAAAAGATCTACGGTCAGAATTCTTCTTAGAGACTTTTGTGTCGATAGGTAACCGTGCTATTGATAGAAGAAACTAGACTAGTAGTAAATGACGGTTCGAAATAATCAGTCACACAGTTATTCAACCAACAATTTCTCTATCGGTAGTCAAACCAGATGCAGCAATTAAATGTTCGTACTTAGTTGTTAAGATCGTCACCGTCATGCTTCTTGAGAACAGACTCTCAGGTCCGTAAATTTCTTTGCTTATTAATCCAAATGATTCTTCCTAGTTGACTCAACAGGTGTTCTGTTCCTTACTTCAAACCCACTATTAGCGCTTGATTGCAGACATCAACTACGAGCTGGTAATTAATCTAAACATGGCTTTGCCTACATGTTTATTCAAGACTAAACATTTGATGGCCCTGATATGTTGCTTGCAAAGCTATCCTCTAGGTATCACGTCCTCTGTACTGGCGTTCAGGAATGTGACAAGGTCCTCAACTGAGTATTTGACTAAAGTTCAGGTATGACAGTAGCGATATTACCTGGAGTATCTTTAATTCTTGTGTTACTACCCATAAGACAGCAGTCTCAAATAATTAATGCGTGTACCGTTATCTTACACATTATAAATAAGTACAGCCACTAGTTTTAGGTCAAAACACAGCATCTATAAAGCATCTTTACTTCGTTTGTTGTAAAATGTCAAATTAACTGATTAGCTTAATGCAGTAAATCTTATAACGATATGATCTTGCTTGTAAAATAGCACTACGTATGTTAACTATTGTTATCTGTGAAAACATGGACACTAAATCTATCATATCGTTTTAGTGTTTATTTAGTCTATATATATATATATATATATAATAAAACACCAAGTTGAAAATAACATGTTCAGTAATGGGATAAAATTTTACGCCCAATTATTAATAGTTATTTCAGATATACTTGTCAAGCATATGCGTCACGATTCAGTAGGCTCAGTCGTTCTTAACTGAGTGACAGATTCAGTATTTTTATACTGACCCTCTACACCGTCTTGACTATGTCCTGACATGTTATTTGCTTCCGTCTTACTTGGTTCAGAGTTTTGTTGTTCAACGATAACTGCTTCTTCTTCACTTATACCATCTTCGCTTTCATCTGAATCAGAAGCATCTTGAGGTACAGAGTATATGCGAAGTACAGGCTAAAAACAGTGAAATATAAATAAGGAAATTTCTATCAGCCAATATCTCCAATGATTAATAAACACATAATACAAAAAGTATATATTGTAAATATACACCGTGGTAAATGCACCTCTTATTTCATCGACAGGCACTGATATCACACTTTGAACATCTTTCCATAGTGGATCGAGTTTACTCTGAATGACTCGAAGATTTTATTTGACCGAACAAATGAACAGCACTAACGTACTCAGAGTCCACCTCATATATACACAAAATAAAGAAAGTGATTATCTTTGTAAACAGAGTCCAAGCATGGAAAATATCTCATAGAAGGTCGTTTCCGACTGGTTTTAAGCAGTTGTCTGTTTGAATCTGTAGTTCAATAATATAATCATTGGCTCAAATTCTTTGATAGCCCTACCAGTAAAAATATTCTTAGTGTGAGCTGTCACGGAGTAGCTACCGCAAATTTATCTATTACAACACTCCAGAACTTCCTGTTCCTGAAAAAAACCCTTTCATTTCTTACTAGTTCAGTTGTCTCCACAACTAACCCTCCTCATACATCTCTATTATTATGAGTCACAAATGCGGATGATTTGACAAAACGAAATGTTATCTCTTTCCCTCTGAAAGTGTCCTTTAAAATACACATAAGAAATTTCAATATTCGAACCTTGTGGCAGATGGAAGAACAGTGGCAACTGGCAGACTCATCAATGTAATAGATATTAAGGATTTGGAAGTTGATGAGACTAGTTCTGGAAGATATGACACAGTGATCCAACCCGAAACGATCAAGACAACTCTGAAAAGTTTAACACCTCTCAAGATACACTTCACTTGTTTACTTGCGCCAAGCAACCTGGATGGGATATCGACATAAAGCCATTGAAAACTAAGGAAATAGAACCCATAGCTAATCTAAAGTGAGGGTGGAAAGCCTTGATAGCTTAACCCCAAAGATCCTTAACTATAATGGTCCAGTCTTGGCTTTTAGGTCGTATGAGATCCTAGCCAGAGTCTAGGAACTAGACTCAATCGTATCTAACTGGTCTCGATCACTGATCGTTTCATTTTACGATAAAAGGAAAAAATCCTTTCGTGAGAATCATAGAAGAATCAGTTCGAACAACGTAGTACCTAAAACATGAGCCTCGGTAATCATTCAACGATAAAACTATGGCTCCTGATATAAAAGCAAGGCTGGTTTCGAACATGTGCGTGGAGGTGGAAAACGAAATTTCTTCCTTCTGCCAGGTTGTGGGACACAAACATAACTAGTGACTCCCAACCATAGGTAAATTACTTGACCTTAAAGCAGTTTGTCAAACACGGCAAACTGAAGTAGTGAATCTACATACAGTAAGAACGTGGATTATAAATGCCTGTCCACCACCTACCTCGATTCGTACTCATGGCTGATGTACAAAATATGTTTGAAGTTAGGAGCTACTAGAAACAAACCTGTCACAAGCTCATAATCATTGAAAAATGGTCTGACCCATATATGTAAATGCAGACTACCTGGTTGGGGTTCACATGATTATTCTAAACAATGGTTAGAGATTGTGTAACACGGTTCAAAATTGTTCATAGTAGCAGTGAAACATTGACTTTTTGCCTTACAAAATCTTCTTATACTTATGCTTTCTTGTTATATGATGGGTTCTTTTGTATTTGGTCAGTGACATGCTTTTTATGATAAACAACATTACTATTTTGCCTGGGATGAGATCGACTTAAACTTGGGTATCAACAGTTTATAGTCAAGTAGATAAGAGAGAATAAGCTGGTAGGTAAACGCATACAGTTGCTTGTAAGAATTTTATTAATAACCGTGAAAAAATTAATATCATGTCAAACCATATTACTTGTAATTACTATCGCTCCCTCATTATTGATTACTCTGTCATGTTTATCAGCTTGGTCTCTAGGGATGCTAAGAATTATTCTTAGATCATTAAAAATTGTTTTGTACGACACTTATCTTTGTTGTAAGATGTACTTCGGTGAACCTCACTACACACTTGTTGTCACTGGGTTAGGCGACGGAGTATTAAACATTCGCAGACAATGAACAAACACAAAGGACATCGAACTATCGATGTGTAAATTTCCGAGCTATTTGTCGTCAATCTTTGATAATCCTTAAGAACGTCATTCCTTTCTTGATCAAAAACACTACTGATTGTTTCTTTCCAATAGTATTTTGGGGCTATCTAATGTGTGTTTAAGCAAAAAAATAAAGTGAAAAATGTAAAGATATAATAAAATCAAAGATACAATCTACATATATATCGACAAACCTTATTAGGATCCTTTAACATTAGATATTTGCCTTCAGGCATTTTCATGAAGAAATCAACGACACATCGCAGAATACCCCAAGCATTATCCATATTCAAATTCAGCTGATTGGCGAACTCCGATGGTTTGAACTGTTGTGTGCCCAATATGACATGACGAGATGAATCACGGGGGTTGACACGAGATACAAATCTACAAAAAATAAGACAATGATTATTACGAAAATATACTATTGAAATACACGAGAAAAATAGATCTATATTTCTTTAAAATTCAAACAATAAAGAATATAATTGATAATTTTTATAATGTGATTAGTAAGAATATTTGTAACAAATATCCATTCATAAGATACTAAGAAGAAACATGCAATAACTTTTGAAATGTGGATGCGGAATAACATTATTATCAACTTATATGGAACGTTCGAATTATAGTAGATACCGGATGTAGAAGGCTATCAACATGACAAAAAGAATATTTGAACAGTCAATCTATTGACAAACAAAACAAAAATGGTACATCTATAACATGGGTTAATTCTTAATGTTTAAAGACACCTTTTCAGAAATAATAATTATTATAGGAAACTAACTACAGTTGCAATAAGTTCTTAAAAAGGATTTGAGATTTAACACCGTAATTAATATAGACTTTGAATACGGCACGAAAAAATGACCGTATGGACTAAAGTTCTTTAGTTTATACAAAAACACAAAATCTATGAAGTATGGCTGTGGTGATAGCTTATGTGTTCAGACATTAGGTTTTAAGTTCGAACTCCGCTCAACAAACATCATTCTGGCTATTCGGGAAGTAGTAGATGAGTACACAAAACTACATCATACGACTAAAATATGATAATTAAACCTTTTGGTAGATTCTGACATTATTTTTGAGACGCAAACCATTTCCATCAGAAAAATAGGAAACTATTGAGAAATCCAATACATAATTCAGTAACGAGTTGTACCTCTTATAGAAAGCGGTTAATATATTGTTGAAAATTATACACATACACAATTACAAATCAATTAATAGAAGTTACCGCTAGTTTCATGATTTGTTAACCGAATATGTAAAATGTCAGTCAGTAGATCACAAAGTAAAAACTGGAGGATATGTAAATCGATTTAATCTGACATTCCTTATTAGCACAGAGAGATAAAGTTTTCAGGCCAAATCCAAAAAAATAGTCCAAGTAGTAACATTATTAGTGGTGATTTAAAAGACTAAGGATCGAATTTATGATTTAAGAAAATAAAAGTAGGTGAAATCAAAAAACTTATAAATTATTCAAAAGCTCAGAATTTGGGGTAAGACAAAGAAAGATTTGGAGTCATGCCATTTAAAGCTTAACCATTGGTTACGATAGTCACACAAACCCCAATCAAGTAGTCTAATCCTGCCGAAATGACTCAGTCCAATTTTCAGTGACTTTATGGACTAATGCCATGCTTTAATTTGATTGGCCCTAGCTCTCTTTTAGCCTGCTCATACACCATACAACATTTTGCGTCGATGTGGACGGTGGTCGGGCATAAATAACACATGTCCCAACCACCTAAGTTGATCAAATTTTTTTACCTCAACAGTCGATTTGCATATTCAACTAATACCCTATTCCTGACCCAGACACTACCTACTCCGTGGTCCAAAAATACTAGTAACCTGGGGATAGCCTCTATTCTTAATGGAAGTGTTCCACTCATAAAAATTACCTGCTAATAGTACTAAATCAGAGCGCTGAAAAGCTCATAAATCTCGGCGTTAACTTCACCCGAGCGGCATTGAATGAGAGCGAAGGCAGCGACAATGAAAAGGCAACGGCGTGTCTCTCTTTTCAAGTTCTTACTTCCCCGTTTAGTCACACAGCGCAGAAGCGATTGCTAAATGGAATCTAGTCTAAGGAAGCCTGTTCTGTTTTAGAAATCAATGCTACGCCTAAACCAGTGGGGCAAAAAGAAATAGCAGTGGAGCGTCCAGATACTCGAACAATAAGTCGTGCCGTTCCTTTATATTGACAATGTGATGTCTAATGAATGACCGTACCTGGACCCTGTATGCGCGCCCCAAAGACGCACCATACATCGATGACGCGGAATTCTATAGTCCTAGCTCAAGAAGTTTGTTGTCCTATCCGACACAAGTTTCGAACTATAAAATCTCCAACATGTAGTTTAGAGAGTGGTTTCAGGAAACCAAGAATAATGTTTCTTGAACTCAAATCATTAGCGTTGGTGTGGCATGTTGACGAAGATAAATGAAAAGAGTTGGCGTAAGGATGGAATGATTATTAAGAGGTGATGGAGGGATTTGATTGTGAACAAGGTCTCAGTAGCTGATGGAGGTGTGAGAGCGGTCGTCACCTCTCGGCTGCCCACATTGTTAAGGGATATTTCTGTTTGGAGGAACTAGGACGGAAGGTGAATTAGTGACTGTCTTGGTGGTCTGGGAGCGTGATTGCAGAGCCCATAGGACAAGTGCTTGAGGTCGGACGCGCACAGCCTTTTTAAGGATTGATGAGTTGGCTCCGCCTTTCAAAAGGCCTTAATGCCAGAGACGGAAATTCGTGAGGTAAGTTGTGAGAATTTTAGGGTCGTCTTTTCCTTTGTTGTAAGAAGGCAAAATGGTTGAAGATTCTATATGTTTGGGGGAAACACCATACTGCTGTCACCACCTTGTACGATCAGCGGTCAGATTACACTCTCAGACTTTAAGTTGATACTTTTAGTCTTAACGTTTTTTAACCGACCTGCCTGACATGATAAGGCCTAGAGGAACATGTGTTTCATGTTATATAGTTGAGTTGAGTCATAACGACAGGCAAGTTCGACTACTACGTAAAGGTAGCAGCCAAAATCGAGAAATTTAAAATGATATAGATCCCATTGCTGTTTATGAGTTAGTTTTAATCAGAAGGGGTGAACAACTAAATCATCGTGTGAAGTCTTGCTTTCTCCTCTGCATTAGTTCGTTTCCGACGCAATAAGTGGTAAACGGAAGCTCTTCTGCATTTGTAACAAACATCCACACCAGTAGTAGTATCAGCATTTTTTGAAGCCATCACAGAAATATAATAACAGTAAGTGACCATAATTATAGAGACAAGTGGATGCTCGTGCGCTTAGCAATTGAATCCGTTTTGGTGTAAGAGATTTAGCCATCCATATAAACATTGGTGTGATAGCCAAAAAAACATTATCGCATGCTCAACATAATAACCGTAACTGAGAGACTACTATACTATAAAGTCGCTTAGGACCTCGTATACTAGAATGACACTGAGTTACTATGTTCAAATCATTGAGTGAGTTCGTAATATTACCTGTTTGACAATCTGAACAAGATAACATAGAATTCAAATCTGCGAATCAGCGGTAGAGGAATAGAGGATACTTATAATAATTAGGATGCCCCATATAGTGCAACAATTCATCACAATAAACAGTAACGTACCCTAATTTTAATTGATCCGCACCTGACAATATACTACAGACAGTCCATCCAGCTAATTTAAAGGCATTATTCTTTATCTCAGCAGCCAAAACAGCCCCCCGTTGAGTATCAAGTTTAGTACGCCAATCGACACCACCACAATACTGAGACAAAAGATGTCCATAGAGTGGAAAAATTTCGTAAAAGATACATAACATAGGATTATTATTATTATCATTATTATTATACGAGAAATTGTTTTATTGTTTAACTGCAGGGTTCTTTGTTTGGACGATTTCACCGTCATAGAATACCGAGTGAATAACACATACAGAATGTTATATTGATTTGTTTAGTTTCAAAAACTTACGAAAACACAAATTGATTGACACTAAGAACTGATCAACTCAATACTCTTCCTGTAAAATCTCAGCGAATGAATTTGAAGTAAATCCAAAGTTTCGCTTGGCAATCTGGTCCAAGCCTTGTCAAGGAAATATCTTTACTTCAAATTCATTCGCTGAGATTTTACAAATACACTCTTCCTCTTTAATGTCTCACATCAACTCGGTGCCCAAATACTGAGATTATCCGATCAAATTTAGATGAAAATTCTTATTTAATATTTCTTCGTTAGTTTTACTGACATCGAAAAACTGAGAGAAGGTATAAAGGCAAATGATTCCTTAAAACATATTGTAGGATAAAAAGACTGGTGTTAAACCAATTTTTCAAAAAGATGGATATGGTCCAGTGTGTGAATTTAATGACACTAAGCAAATTTAGAGCAACATATTTAAGCGAACAATTTTGTTTCCAGTTAAACCATCAGGCTTCAATATACAATAATATTTGCATGAATATATCAAATTATTAAAACTAATCAATACAATTTGAGTCGGTGATAACAGTGGAATAGATTACATGAATAAACATAATAAATAAAAGAGTACAGATTAATAGTGTGATGACAGGTGCACTATGGTTCTTATTCTTGCTGATTTTTTTCTCTCGAAAAACTAGAAAACGGACCTCTTACACAGGTTATTGATAAGCTTGAATTTTATTATGGTTGGTCACAAAACATTGGAAAAGGCAAAACCACTACTTCATCATTTTTTCTGTATTATTAAGGACAAAATGGATGTTTACTGTAAATTTTAGAAGTAAAAGGGGAGAAATATCTAGAGATAACATCCGTTTACCATTTGAATTTCTATGTTCTACCTTGGAAACGATATCGAAAACGTCCGCAACGCTTCTGTTTACGACTAATCTGTGTAGAAGATCGAAGATTCTAACCAGCCAATAGTGATTTGTCAGATAAAGAATAAGTCACTTGGTTTTGATACATCCATGTGTATCGACGAATCCAGCTGCTCATGTGAAGAAAGCCATACTGAGGTACAACAAGACAACCAATCAACGAGTTGATGACACAGCTCGTTTCGTGGTTGGGAAAGGATATGAGAAAAACAGTGCACAGCTGCGTTCTGTCACACTTGATCGATAGCGATCATGTGGTAGAAAGAAACAAATCATTCGAAGTAATTTACCGTATACCTACCTGCTTTTCTTATGGGGTTCAGCCCTGTATCTTAAAAAACGGAAACGATAGGGATTCAAGCAAACAACCCAAATCTTTGTGTTCATAACAAATTTGTAACACGCTTATCTATTGCTTGACAGAATTAGCCTTAACAAACTTTTATCATTATTTTACATACCATTTCTTTCAATTATACACTTCACTATCTAATTATTGTGGAATTTTAATATTTTTTAGTGAATGTTATTTGATTGTCTACTTCTTCAAGCCGTTGATCTACTTTCGACTAAGAAACATTGATTCTAGCTTTTATCATTCTTATCACATCTAGTACACTCGCCATCGCACTATTAATTTGTACTTTATTTATTTATTTATTATGTTTATTCATGTAATCTATTCCACTGTTATCACCGACTCAAATTGTATTGATTGGTTTTAATAATTTGATATATTCATGCAAATATTATTGTATATTGAAGCCTGATGGTTTAACTGGAAACAGAATTGTCTGCCTTGATATGTTGTTTTAACTTACAATATGAAGACTCTTAGTCTTATGTAAATTTGTCACGATATTCGTATGAAAAATAGTGTGAGAGAAAAATTAAGATCATACAATAGATCGCTAAAACCACAGAAATGTATGTTTTAGTGATTTCTGAAGCATTTTTAGTGAGTAGATCAGGATCAGAATATTATCGTTCTAAGGATGAACTGATATGGTAAATTAACAGTCGGAAGAAACCACAAATATTTTACATAAAAACTATATGAGGTTTAATGATTTTCAGAACAGGTGATTATTTGAACAGTTAATCCGAGTATTTGAGCTATCTTAATGATGCTTTATGATAGTCATTTCCTATGCCCATTTCTTTTTATAATGATCAGTGCTTTTCGTTACTGAAATGAAAATAAATGTTCGTAAAAAGAGTATACTGGAACTTACACGTGAATCAAACTCATTTAATGCGCGTATACATACAAATTGTGGACTGGCTGGCTGATCATCATTAGTCGGTTGAAGTACACCATTCACTTCGCAACGAATAACCATTTGAACATCATTTCCCAAATCAAATATGCGATATCGATATCCTACAGAACCTAATTCTTCTTTACCACCTTCGTGATTTTTGTTTTGAGATGGATTTGGACTATCTTCATCCTCCTCTTCATCATCTTTGAAAGGATTTTCTTCAGGGAACGAATATGTTTTACCACCCTAACAACAGGATATAATTCTATGAATTTAAATTCCCAATATAAATAGTAAACAACCATATTTATTTAGATTAATTCATTTTTATACTTATTTCCCGTCAAAAATGTTTAAAGTCAACCAGAATAATAAACTGGTGTAACGGTATGTGTAAGACATATCTGACTGAAAACCAACTGATTAATAACAAAATAAGTAAACAATATATTCAGTTTTTTGTAATAAATTTCGAGTTATACTCTCTGTAATATAAAGAACTAAGATAGCACAAAACTATCAAACTTCAACAGATGGAAAATATGTTTCAAACCAGCGACTGGATGATCGGAATTTGGGTATCTTAATCATTGAACCATAGCTTTATTTTGATTAAAACACAGAAGTGAATGGAAGATTCTTTTTAGTACATTCTTACCTAGTTTTACATTTATGAGATAATAATAGTCAAAAACATAAGTAACAGCTGTAAGATCTGATGAGAATTTATTGAAAAGAAAATTTATTACTCATAGAACTGGTTTTTGATATCTCATTTAATACTAGCTATATCTGAACTTGTTTCGAACTGGACATAAATGGATATTTAAGCTCCAAAAAAAAATTGTTAATCACACTGATTTCTACATTTAGTACAGAATTTTTTAGACTTACAATAACTTATTAACTCAAAGAGATAGTAAAAATATTGAATTAAATTAACTAGTGTTAACAGTTGTAGCCAAAAGTGATAAATATTCTAATAGAACGCTAAATTCGGTTAATAAGCTGTTCTAGTAACCCCTAGGCTAAGTATACACAACAACCTGAACACGAGGGAAAAGGCGCGAAATGCGGAAAAAACGCCTTACAACAAGGTTTGTTTATGTACGGAAAATCTAGGGTATTTATATTATTTTGGATGGCCTTGGGATTCTGGAAAATTCCGGGATGCTACTGAACATAGTAGCAGTATAGGCAATCATCCAAGCAGAAACACGATATGTTATTTTCCAATTTCTAAACGTTTTGGGCAAAACTTCTAATGAATGCTGATTGAAAAATACGTTTTTCAGCATTTTCAGAACCTTTTTGGCTTTTGTCGAGGAATTTTCTAAATCTCCACAACAAAAATTGAAAAAGAAAGTCGAGGACAGTGTTAGGTACTGAGTGATTGAAGGGAAATATACGATTAGCCGAACTACTTTGTGATACTCCCTTCGTTTTAGCCGTTTATAATGACATATCGTAGAACCTAATGGGAAGTTTTGCTAATCTAAATGATGTATGAAAAAGTCTCATTAAACGTTTGAATAGATGTCTATTTTCAGTATACGACGTCTTCAATTTTTGGGCTTATGACAACCGCCGTGTATGCGGTTATGGTGAAGTAATCTAGTGACATAATGATCGCTTTCTTTCCATTAAGCTGAAGACAACAGATTAATTATTTTACATATTACTTTGGTAAGACGACACCTTAAATCCGTCACGTACTGATGACTTTTGGTTGAGCGATAGATAGCCAGCGAAAATAAACTTTCAATTTGTTTCGTGAAGACAATTATGTACGATATCGCTTTTTCTGAATAATGAAGGAGACCAAGTAATTTTATCATATGAGTCGTATGGTCGAGTCTATTTGATTTTTATTAGCTTATATTTCTTATTATTAAACAGTGATAACTCTAATGACATTAATGAGCGATGAAAAGTGTGAAATAATGAGTAATCTGGTAAACCGTAAAGCCCAATATTTACAAAAAAGCAGCTGCATTTTAGGGAATTTGAGTCACTAATATGGGGTATGATCAAGATTATTCAGTTAGTCAACAATAAAATCTGACCATCTGATTTAATCGCATATTAGAAAGTGTCTTCAGAATCTTGAATAAAGGGGTCAGGATATTATGCTATAAGTCAGTCAGTCAGTAACAACGTAGAGCTCAGTACGTACGTACATCAGTTCGAGTTGCCACACCACTTCATCACAGAGATGCAGTTGTCGATTCAAATCCCGTAGTGGTAGAAGTAGTAAGAGTATAAGCAGTAATCGGAAACATTAGGGTTTGAAGACGTTATTCAGGGAGTATAGCCCAGTGAAATAAATTTGGAAAGAGAAAAAAAGAGACAAGGAGGAATCAGGAGATGCTATAAGTGATGTCATATGTTTTGACTGGACATTTAAGACGGGAATCTGCATTTTTTAAAAGTTGCCAACTATTAGTACTTTACTCTTTTCGTAGAACTACAAATCTGAAACTCAAATAGAAATTAAGTATTGCTTACCATCAGTAGCATTTGTTGAGATAAATTGGTATTTATAAAAGTAGCTTCTAATGCCAAACGCTGGGGTGAATTAATATGACCAGGTTCTTCATTAGGTGGTTCTGTTGCAGTTTCACATACACTAACAAAATCTATATGTAAGATTTTGAGAAATAAATATTTATTTTGTTAGGTATATACGTTCAGGTTTATAAATGGTATCACTAACAGTAGATTAAATGGAGAAATATAGGACAATTACTGGTCATCAAAACGACTTGTAGTTGAACAACAACCCCATAAACATTTTCAGTGTTAATTTGCTCAATAGCATACCACGTCTCAGTTAGCAGTGGATGAACATTCAGAGGTACTAAATCAACTTTACACCAGTAAAAACAGAAATTCACTTTTAGAGCAAGGCATTCGTAAAGTTAAGTACCATTGTATAATTAGGACTTAAACTTCCGAAAAATCAATATTAAAGTAGTTTATTAAAAAGAATCGGATCCATAAAACCAGTAGGAAGACAGGTTTGTCAAAAGGTTTGAGATTTATTGTCACAGAGCTAAAATAGAGCACAAAGGTAGCAGTCTAAACTAACATTAATCAAGTGTTGTTGGAATAATCAAGATGGCTAAGTAAGTTTAGTTCGCTTGATTATGATCTGCGAAAACGTGTGACAAACTGAAGTAAGTAGTGATCAAGTCTTAAAAAAAATACACATAGTGGCTTGTACTAATAATCTGATTTCTAATTGTGACGCCATAATATGCGAGACGCGGCAAAGAATAGGACGTTACTGAAGTTATGTGGTACTTCATAAAATTTCTTTATGCTGTGTATCTTTTACAAACCCTTCATAGTTCAAATTTTTGGATTTTTAATTTTTATCTTCCTTTTCAGTCTTAATTCTGATATTTGTAACACACTAGTTGGTATTGTTGAAAACTGGTAGTTTAAGCAGCTTTAACACTGGATAAACTTTTCAGCCCGTCAGTTACTCGAGCACGTTTACAGAACATGTTAGGTATGTAGTGATGAACTAGTCAACACGACTAGTAATAGACTGACTCCCTAACAATGATATGGAATTTTTTGGTTGTGACAAACGTCTGTCATCTTTCAAAGCTAATGGATTTCACTTCTAGCCACTATCCATCTTCGCTTATAATGCCTGTAAATTAAAGCAATATCGAGGCACACGCACAGTATGCACATATGCCAATAAGAGACTGATCAATTTCAGTCATAAAACATCAGTGGGACGATTCAAGTAAAACAATACCAAGTGAATGAATAGATTAATTAGAAACAAGAACGAATTAGACTGCAGTACCATGCAAGTGAACCCCCCATGCAATGCAGTTTAGACTAACTGCCTTTTACAATATTTATTTATTGTAACACATAGATATTGGTATAATCAGGCACCAAATACATATGCGCCACACAAATCTCATTTGATATATGTGAGGGCTATGATAGTGCCCGGTTGCCCAAACCGAAGCCGGTCTTTTACAAGATACGTTAAAATATCTAATAAAATAATAAATAAATTCCAACCATTGTTCGAATACTTTCTGCAAAAACATACGAACTTACCAGATTCAGTATCTTCGCGCTTATCAAAGAACAAACGGTCTTGTATGCGTTGTACAATGAGATCCCAAGGATACACCGAACGAGTGCAACACATAATCATGGCAGCAATCGTATCTGTGCAATAAACTTTGCCAACGGAGTCGCTGGCTAAACGGTGAATTACTGGGTCTCTGGAGGTTGTAACTGTGTGGAGAACCCGATTTACTCTTACAAGAGGACGTTCGTTTCGCGTGCTAACGCGATCATATGATTTGTCATAATACTCCATTTCTCCACAATTAACCCTACAAATAATAAATTAAGTTGTTACAACAGTTGAGAATCATATCAAAAGCAACAGATACAAAAATACTCACTTGTCAATGGGCTCCTTTACGTTAGGTAGGGCCAACTTTGCAAGTCTAGCAAAATCTAGCTCTTCCAACATCGTCCAATTATCCTTAATTTGAATAGATGCATCACGCACTGTCCTGTGGGCCTGTCTGCGATCAATATTAGAGCCCCAAGCACCTGTATTGGATCTCCAACCTTGAGTCCCCCCTCGTCGCTGCCCGACACCCTGGGGGCCCCAGTGTTGCCACCGTCTATTCTGTTGCAACATCATACGTTCTCTGTCTGCTGCACTGCGTAACTTACGGTTTACTACACCACCCTGGTTTCCAAGCATCTGATATCCTGACCGGCCTCCTGCCCAAGAATATCCAGAACCTGGACCACCTAAACCACGGCGGCCACGCTGAAATCAATAAATGAAAAACCGAACTCTGAATGTTTCAGTGAATATATATAATAGACTAGAGAACGCTGACCACGCTTAGAATGCTAATATCAGGTAGAGAAAATATTAGTAATCCACCAAGGTTGTAAACCAGATTCAGAGAAGCTAGTTATAGATCCGGAATTAGTCATCATGTAGAGCATGGGACAAATGTTTACTAAAGTTGCTTTCCTACAATAACATAACGACACAAAATTAATGGAACGAGTGATGAGGTTGTCAAAATTATGTAGTTGCAAACAAAATTAGACAAAAATTGAAGACATGATTACATAACCCAGGGAGAGTTGTGTATGAGGGGATATTGGGAATCAAGAACAACATTAAAGCGAACATTTACCAGTGACCGAGGCATGGTCACATCCTCTTTTCTTTCTTACCAGATCGAAATATAGCAAGCGAGTTCAAAAGGCAAAAACGAAGTGAGTGCCAGTGGCGTACAGATTTTCTCACCATCATCAATTTTTGGGAGTAGTATCTACAACTTCAATTCGTTATTTCAAGAAACGACTAGACACTAATAGGAAGTTATTAGGAAGGATTAGCATAGGCCGTCAGTCATTAATTTGAAACACAAATCAAAGTTTGGAAGCATATTACAGATAGAACAGGTTCATATTACTTTGAAAATAAGTTTTAAGGCACTGACTTAGTTAATAAATGCTAGAAATGATCCAAACATTCTGCTTTCACCAAAAGCATTAACAAAACTAGATTATTAATGTACTTATTTGAGAACTTATGTATCATTGGCAAACCCCACTGACATACCTGAACGTGATTTATTTAATACAAATAAAACGAAAGATGAATGACAACGTTAAGTCACAAACACATGACGGAATAATGGAATATACTTAACATAATTTACATAAATGAGGGACGGAAGGTTGTAACTGAGTAAAAAACAATCCGCACACAAATATTTTGTTACCTTGAAAATCATATTGAAGAGTACAAAAGTTCTGTACATGACTCAAGGCAATATTTAGGGGTGACTTATTCTCATCATTAGAATCAAAAACCCTAGAACTGTTCTTAAACGACCGAACAAAGGTGACGTGAGGTGAATATGGTTCAACTTACCATAGGGAATCTATATCTTTGACGAATAGCAGGAGTTTTCGTCTCACGAACGGAAGAAACTAGTTGAAAATTGCTGTCGTCCTCATCATGATAGTAAGCGTACTGTAAACCCACAGACTGAGTGACATAGCGACCTAAAAATTTCAAAGAGTAACGTTTATGCGAAACCTTTGTTTTTCATATCTTGAAAAATATTTCCTGACCAATCTGCAACCTAAACAATTACGAAAAGAATTATTTCGAAGAAAGCTTACTCTGCCTAAGCGAGTATCCTTTGAAAATGGTTGAAAAGGCATGTTTCTAAACTCTTCTGGTATATCTGTTGGACCCCAACCCGTAGGGTTATCGCTAAGAGAAAGGGATCCAAATCCTGGGAGAATTGCATCATCTGACAGCATGTTTTATCCTTTAGATTGCGCTCTCCATCCCAAGCCCACTATCCAATATTCAATACCAGCAAACGAATATAATTTTTGTTAGTAGGCTGAACACTAAAGTCCGATCACCTACAAACCTGCAACAAGGCAGAGAAAAGAGGATTAGAATATCAAGACGTCATTTGTATGGTAATCCAGGGAGTTCTGGAATTTCACCTGTAGTTGTTATTTGTACTGTTTCAAGATATCCGAATCTTGATTTAATAAGGGTTTTCAACTTTGGATCCCACTAATGTTTTGTATACTGCGATGAACATGTTGGTATCCAACTTGTTATAAGCCCGTCCTAAAGCCCATAGAGTTCTAAACCCCTTAGCTCCAGCATTGCAGCATTGGGCCGTATTCTCAAGATCGTGGAACACAGTCGAGCAAGATCCTTGTGAAACCGGACTATGGACACTGACTGTTCCCTTATGCTATATCTGTGTACCTTTGTCTACAAACTTGGAATGTAGACACACTCGGCGGCGTTAACAGACATCTGCCATTCTTTAGACCAGCTAACCAGAACATCTAAGTCCGCTTGAAATGCATACGCATCTACGTCCCTTGTTATTTCATCGTCAGTGTAAAGTATCATCGAGTATTCAGTTACACTTGTTAATTTACTTACATATAGTATCAAAAATAAAAGACCTAGCCTTGTGATACTCCACTATGCACTGGTTTCCAGGAGGAGCATTTGTGATTTTTTATTAAGTTCTGTTTACTATCCACCGAGAAATCCTTGATGCACTGAAGCAGAGATCATATAATTCCCAAATTTTCAAGCCTCAAGAACAGTCTATTATTTGACCCCTTATCAAACGCTTTGTTGAAGACTATCCAGACAACATCCACTCATTTTCCATTATCTAGAGACTTCGAATTTCATTCTTGCTAAACGGAGGTTTGCTGTGGGATATTATCCTTTCCTGAAACTGTTTTGTTCGCTGTTTGACACGTTTTTGATCTCCACGGATATAATTAGGTCCTCCGATTATTCTTTGTAGTATTTTAACTACGACACTGGTATGGCTGACAGGTTCATCCGCTCCTGTTGCTTCTTCTGTATCTAAAATGCCAACAGCCTTTGGTACCTCATCTCGGGCTGAATTTATCCGCAACGCAACCATGTAAATTTAATGTATTGCCCAGGATAATCTGTTCAAGCAACCACAGATTTTGTCATTTCATAATGTATTTTTAATTAAATAACTAGAATATGTTGTTAATTTTGCTGTATTTTTAATTTTTATTCGCCACGTCTGACTGCGTTAAACTGTACGTTCACTGCACTTACTTACTTACTTACGCCTGTTACTCCTCGTGAAGGAGCATAGGCCGCTCACCAGCATTCTCCATCCAACCCTGTCCTGAGCAATCCTTTCCAACTCCTTCCAGTTGTTATTCATCGTTTTCATATCTGCTTCTATTATCCGACGCAATGTGTTCTTTGGCCTTCCTCTTTTTCGCTTCCCTTCAGGATTCCAAGTTAGGGCTTGCCTCGTGATGCAGTTTGACGATTTGCGTAATGTATGTCCTATCCATTTCCATCGTCTTTTCCTAATTTCTTCTTCAGCTGGAAGTTGGTTTGTTCTCTCCCACAGAAGGCTATTGCTGATGGTATCCGGCCAATGGATGTTGAGTATCTTGCGTAGACAACTATTTATAAATACTTGTACCTTCTTGATGGTGGTTGTTGTAGTTCTCCAAGTTTCAGCTCCATACAGTAGAACTGCCTTGACGTTCGTATTGAAGATTCTCACTTTGATATTGGTTGAAAGTTGTTTTGAGTTCCATATGTTCTTTAACTGTAGGAATGCTGTCCTTGCTTTGCCAATCCTCGCCTTTACGTCTGCATCCGAACCTCCTTGTTCATCGATGATGCTTCCTAGGTATGTGAAGGATTCTACATTTTCCAGAGTTTCGCCATCAAGAGTGATTGGATTGTTGTTTTCCGCTTTGAATTTGAGGACTTTGGTTTTAACTTCGTGTATACTGAGGCCTACTGATGCAGAGACTGCTGCTACACTGGTTGTCTTCATCTGCATCTGTTCGTGTGTATGCGATAAGAGGGCTAGGTCATCTGCGAAGTCCAAATCGTCTAATTGATTTCGAGCTGTCCATTGAATTCCGTGTTTTCCTTCAGATGTCGAGGTCTTCATAATCCAGTCGACCACCAGAAGAAAGAGGAAGGGAGAGAGTAAACAGCCTTGTCTGACTCCGGTCCTTACTTGGAATGCATCTGTCAGCTGTCCTCCATGCACGACTTTACACTGTAGTCCGTCCTATGAGTTCCGGATAATGTTGACAATCTTCTCAGGAACTCCGTAGTGCCGAAGAAGTTTCCATAATGTCCTCCTATCTACACTGTCGAATGCTTTTTCATAATCAATGAAGTTGATGTATAGTGATGAGTTCCACTCAACTGATTGTTCGACGATGATCCGTAGTGTTGCAATTTGGTCTGTGCATGATCGATCCTTACGGAATCCAGCTTGTTGATCTCGAAGTTGGGCGTCTACTGCATCTTTCATCCGGTTCAGCAACACTCTGTTGAAGACCTTCCCTGGTATTGACAGCAGTGTAATGCCTCTATAGTTTTCACATTTGCTCAGATCTCCTTTCTTTGGAATCTTGACGAGGTGCCCTTCTTTCCAGTCCATCGGCACTTGTTCCTCTTCCCAAATCTTTTTGAATAGAAGGTGAAGCATGTTTGTAGTTGCTTCGATGTCTGACTTCAGTGCTTCAGCTGGTATGTTGCCCGGACCCGCTGCTTTCCCGTTCTTGATTTGACTGACAGTCATTCTGATTTCTTCCTTCGATGGTGGGTTGACGTCTATGGGAAGATCTGTGTGTGCCGCTTTGATGTCCGGTGGATTCATTGGAGCCGGCCTATTCAGCAGTTCCTCGAAGTATTCTACCCATCTGTTCCGCTGTTGTTGAATTTCAGTGATTGGCTTGCCTCCGTTGTCTTTGACCGGTCTCTCTGGTTTACTGTATTTCCCTGCTAGTTTCTTCAATGTATCGTGAAGCTGTTTCATATTTCCTTCTCTAGCAGCTTTTTCTGCCGTCGTTGCAAGTTCTTCCACGTATTTTTTCTTGTCGTCTCTAATTCTCCTCTTCACTTGTTTGTGTGCTTCTATGTATTCAGCTTGTGCTTGGACATTCTCTGCTCGTGTTCGGCTGTTGTTTATTGCTGCTTTCTTGTTCTTCCTTTCTTTGATCTTGTCCAGTGTTTCTGTAGAGATCCATTCCTTATGATGGTATTTCTTTAGACCCAGAACCTCTTGACACGTTGAAGTTAATGCTTCCTTGATGCCTTTCCAGTTGTCCTCCATACTAGTTTCTTCTTCCTTCCGTAGATTTTGTAAGGCTTGGAACCTGTTGTTGAGAGCTATCTTGAATTCATTGAGTTTGTAAGTATCTCTAAGGACGGCTGTATTGAACCTTTGTAGTGCTGTTTGTCCAGTTGTCCAGTTCTTCTTTAGCTTCAGTTTTAAATTGGCTACAACTAGGTGGTGATCTGAAGCTATGTCAACTCCTCTTCTGGTTCTCACATCTTCCATTGTCCTTCGGAATTTTTTGTTGATGCAAATATGATCTATCTGGTTCTCTGTGGTGTGGTCCGGTGAGATCCATGTAGCTTTGTGTATACGTTTGTGTAGTAATATTGTGCCTCCTATGACCAATTTGTTGAATGCACATAGATTTGCAAATCTTTCTCCATTTTCGTTTCTCTGTCCCAGTCCATGTAGTACCATAATATCTTCATATCCGGTGTTGTTTATTTTGACTTTGGCATTTAGATCTCCCATCAGAATGGTGAGGTCCTTTCTTGGGCATTTCTCAATGACTGACTGCAGTCGCTCGTAGAATTGATCTTTAATGTCGTCGTTGCTATCATTTGTGGGTGCATAACATTGGATAATATTCATTAAGATCCCCTCCTTCTTTGTTTTGAATGATGCTTTGATGATTCTGGATCCGTGAGATCCCCATCATACAAGTGCATTTCGTGCTACTTTGGACAGCATAATAGCGACTCCCTGAGTGTGTGGAGCATTGTCCTCTTCGTGACCGTAGTATAGCAGCATCTCTCACGTAGCTAGCCTTTTCTGTCCAGCTTGGGTCCAGTGGGTTTCGCTGATTCCCAGTACTGCTAAGTTGTATCTCCTCATTTCCATTGCTATTTGACTGGTCTTCCCGGTTTCCCACATTGTTCGAACGTTCCATGTACCTATAAAAATTTTTGCTCTGGTTGTTAGAAGGAGCATCGGCCTCGTGGCTTCCGAAGGAACTCGGCTTTCACCATGAAGCGTCATAATTCTTCTAAATGAAGACCTTCTAACTCCCAGGGCAGAGTTAAAATGGTTTGGATTATTTTTTCTGGTAAGCGTTTTTTAGCGAGTTAGTTTTATATGGGATGGGGACGCTAACCCCATGCCCAACCCTCCTCCTTTACCCTGGCTTGGGACCGGCAGTAACCCCATGAGAGCTACAGGCGGAGTTACGTTCACTGCACGCTGGGATTTTATCCCAAGTCACAGTGAGTTTAATCACATAGTTGATTGTTTCCAAATAGACCGTCAGTGCATAATGTTACTGAAGAGAGGTTTGTTGTACTGTATACTATATTTCTATGGACAACTGACTGTTGTCTTCAGTCGGAAAGCAATATTTAAGTCCTTTGTCTTCTGTTAGGTAAGTTCAATTGGCCTATATTTCGTGTTTTGGTTTTATCGGCTTAATTATGTCCATTTAACTACTTTGAGCAACATGTCCGTGCAAATGAAACAATAATTATGACACTTGTTTAGCTTAGTGTTCTTGGTTGTCGTATAATTCAGTTTAGTTGAAATAATTATGGTATACTTAAGTATATTGCTTGAAGCCTGTAACGAAGCAGATCAGTTTAGTAAGTAGAGCTGCCTGTTTCTGATGAGCATACTGATTCAAATCAGTCTGATTAAAACTAG